GAAAGAAAGAAAGAAAGAAAGAAAGAAAGAAAGAAAGAAAGAAAGAAGGAAAGAGAGAGAGGGAAAAAAGAAAAAAGGAAAGAGTGAAAGAAAGAGGAGAGAAAGAAATGGAGTAAGAAAGAAAGAAAAGGAAAGAAATGGAATAAGAAGGAAGGATGAAGCCTGTAGGGTCACCTGGCGATGGTAGGCTTGGAATGAAGGATTTTGCAGTAGCTCGGTGATGTGCCTTTTAGATACTGCCTTTTAAAAATTACCAGCCCCTTTGTGGGTAGTTGTCGTGTTTTATTTTATCCCCCCTCGCTGAATCTCGTGCCAGTTTGCCTGTCTTCAGGCGAGCCCAGTAATTTGGCGAAGTTTTGTGTGGAAGCCAGTTGGGTTTTGCGTTGCTCTCCAGGGTCATTATGATGTGGGTGGTTTCTTCAAAGAGGGCATTTCACGGCAGTCCTCGAAAATACGGTTCTGGAAATTAGTTTAAAAAAATAATAATAATAAAAAAGGAGAGGGGGAAAAAAAAAAAAGAAAGAGAAAAAATAATAAGAAGAAGAACGAAGCCAACCCAGAACGCTGCGCTCTCATTGTGTCGTGTTGTGGTTTTGTTTTTTTTCCTTTTCCTTTTCTTTTTTTTTTTCCTCCCCTCGTGAAACTCCCAAATGAAGCTGACGTTGCAGCGCAATAAACCTCCTCGTATTTAATTGCGTTTTGCAGTGTTAACGGGTCTTTATGGCTTTCCATGCCGGATTACCGGGTAGGGTTTCAGCCTCACGTTGTGTTGGTCCTTTCCCACAGCTTGCTGCCAGGTTTTGTGTAAATCCCCTCGCTGTTCCCCCTCCGTGCTGTCTGATTCCCTAACGTTGCCTTAAGGGTAATAATTGTCCGGAGATGCGCGTCATTTTGAATGTGATTTTCATTTTTTCCAGCTTTCGGGTGGTTGAATGTAGCGCTAATTGCGGTTGTTACGAAGCTCTTTTTGAATAAGATGCTGTAGGATCCTGTGTGTGTGCAACGAGATTAAGATGAGATTCATTACTTAAGCATAAACCGTTTTATGACGTGACAATTTATCTCCGCTAACTTGACTGTGCCTGAATATCGTGTGGACGAGAGTAAATGATCGCGAGCCGTGGAAGTAATAAACAGAAAGACAATCTTTAACAGCCATTTATTCCCAAACTTGTTACATTTTTTCATAAATCACGTTGTGGGGAAGCTAATGCTGGTTCACTGCCTGTTCTCCATTACGTCTTGGTCTCTCCGCACTCGTTTTCTTTTTCTTTTTCGATCTCCCCAGCGCAAATAGTAGTAGTAATAATAAGGAGAAGAATACGAACGGTTTATTAACCTTCCTCCAAATCCCTTTTATACCGATCCTTCCACACCCTCCGCTGGCAACCACTTGTGGGATCTCTCACCTCGGGGCTGGCAGCGAGTTTCAACCCTCGGCCCACGCGTGCCCCGGGGTGGGGGGGTGGAGGGGGGGAGGGAGGGGGGAAGGGAATCCCCTCCTCTCCTTTCTTTGGCAGTTTCCCTGCGCTTTCATCGATGGAAATAAAACGCGGTGGAGGAGAAGGGAGGCAGCTCCCCGCCGTGCCGTCCCCCCGGTGCCGCCGCCGCGCTGCGGGGCTCGCCCATTCCCCGCCGTCTGCTGCCATCTACCGTCGGCGGCGGCGGGCGGCGCTCCCCGGGGGTTCCCGCAATGCCCGGTGGGGCTGGGGGTGAGGAAACGGGGGGGGCTGATGGAGTGGAAGGGTGGGGGGGGGGACACACACAGCCTGGATCCCATCCTCTGTGCCCCAATGCGAGACCCGGCTCCGAGCTTCTCGGGGTTCCCTCTGCCGTTTTGCATCCCCGAGGCCTGGTGTTCTGCTTAGGAGGGGTGAGGGGGGTTCTTTCAGCTGCGTGCGTCTGAATGTAAATATATGGGATGGATGTATATATGTAAATAGATCGCCTGCAATAAGATCTACGTGCAAACCCCCCACCCCCCCCTCCGTATGTCCGTATGTTGAGCTGTGCCTACTTCGATGTGTGACCGCTTCTTGTGTACAACTTGTGTCTGTTCCTTGCCGTGTGTGCGGAGATTTATCATAAATACATACATATAATCCTATATACACGTAAAAGCTCGCATCTATCTATCTGTATACACACACGGAAGACGAAAGATAGCCGGTTGTTTGCAGGGCAGGAGCACGAGAGGAGATCTTGTGAAATGAGCTCCAGTAATGACGTACGAGGCGCAGGAGAGGTGGGATTTCAGCTAATCATAAAAGGCAGAGGGGCTTTTATTTATTTATTGCTTCCAGTGGTCATTTCGGTGGGGTCTGGAAAAGATATGTCAAGTCGTGTACACAGAATGGAGGTGGTTGCTGGGGAAGGAGCAGAGAGTAAAGGCAGACGACGAATCACTTTTAAGTTACTGCTGGCTTTGAAGGGACAATGCGAGCCTGTTATTTTAAAAGGTTTCTCTCTCTCTCCCTCCCTCTCTCTCTCTTTCTCCCTCTCGTTTTCTCCTTCTACCACGCAGTTTCCTGGCAACTGTTTACGTCTGGACTGGTGACATTTTCTCTAAGAAAGTGAGATGATCGGTGCCTACGTTAAAAAACAAACAAACAAAAAAAAAGCCAACAAAAAACGGAGGGGGTGGTGGCGGTGGTGATGGTGGAAAGTTTCTCTCTTTTGACCCGCAACAGCCGCGATTAAACCGTTCCATGCTGCAATTCCCAACACCCCGCGGCACTCGCCTTACGCACCGCACGATACGAGTCGGTTTTTCCCTTCCTCTGCTCACCGATATTCCTTCCACCCTTCCCTCCCTCCCAGGGTTTGCATTCGCCCGGGTGCGATGCGACCACCGAAATGTCCTCCCCCCCTTTCTCCCCCTTCCCCCCCCCCCCCCCTTTTTTTTTTTCTGTTGTTGTTAATAATTAGCCTCACTCTTTAATGGAACAATGGCAGATTATTATTGCTTCTTTTGAAAGATCCCATTAACAAGGTTATTACGCACTGCACGGGAAGTCAGGTAAATTAAACTTAAATTGCTGGGAATTCAGTTTTAGGCGGTTATGAGCCGGGAGAGGGAATAGATGTATTTTTTTTTTACACCTTCAGGGCTCATTGTTTTAAACACGGCAACAGCGGAGCACAGAGGACTTCTGTCGGGTTTCCCCCCGATGTAATTTGGCTGTGGCTGAGCATTACAGAGAGGCTGCTCTGCTGCCAACTGCTTTCTATGTCTGACTCCAGGAACAAGGGTTTTTTTCAAGTGTTTTCGTGGTGTTTGCTTGACTTTATGGCTGCAATAAGTCCCTGGGTAGGGAAACCCCCGCTGTGTTCTCACTTCAGAAGGATCGGGAATTCCAGCTCCACATGAAAAAAAAAGAGTTTCATTTTTTATTGGAACCAACTGCGCTGAACTTTCCACCAAGTTCTCAGCCGGTTTAGCTCTGGCACAAGAAATGCTCTGTTCTGTTTGCATTTCGAAATATTTGGGTGTTGTTTTAATCCCCTCATCTATCTGCCTCCCTCTGCTTTGTGGGGATGACGTTTGCTGGCCAGAAAAGCAAAGCAACAGAAAAGTTGGACCTTCCTGGGCAGATAGCCTTGATTGTGCGTACTGTAAATCCGTCCCTTTATCTTTATTGATGCCCTGCCAGCTGAGTGATGTCAGTCAGAGAGCAAAGACGGGTTCCCAGCGCTCAGTGAAACGCTCTTTACCACCTTCTGGCGTCTCCTGCGACTTTCCCTCTTTACTGCCCCTTCTCTGAGCCTGTTTTTAAGGAGATGAGGCCAAAGGCTGAATAAAGATGTGCCAATGGGCACTGTCAGAGAGAGCCCTAACTTATGGGCTACTGTACGAGCTTGCTGCTGAGTCCTTTATGCTCTGTGTCTGTGTCCCTCCCGGCTTGGCTGGCGCTGGAAGCGGCCAAAGAAAAGAGAATTCGCGAAATCGGTCTCAGATTTATATCGGGAAAGGCAGGAGAGTGTCTGCGAAGCGGCCATGCCCATAAGCCACCGTCCATTCATTTATTTATTCAGCCCTTTATTTTGGCAAAGCCATTTACATGGGAATAGAAACCACCTCCGTGCTGAAGGTGCGGTTCTCTAAGATACAGCATAGCGTAAAGTCCCCTCTCGTGTTCGCATGCATTTTAGGTGACAAACCAATTATTCCTCGGGCCGGACCCTTCGGAAGATGAACACTGTGACATTCTATTTGGTTTTGGATATATATATATGTATATCAGTTCGGAAAACAAGTCATCTCTTCTCCTTTCTCTCCCCAAATCGCCAACTGCGGGGCCAAGAGAAGCTTCGCCCCTCTCTTAAGAAGCGAGTTGTATTCATTTCATCTATAGGGCATCTAAAATATCAGCAATAAGCAATTAGCGAGCGGCCGGTTGCAACACATTCTGTTTTCTTATATAATGCGGACATATAAACCGCCCTAAAAACCTTCTTTAGCCATACGTGCACAACCTGCTCAGTATTTCACTACGGTAAATCCGAAGGGGAGGTTGGGGGGGGGGGGGGGGAGGGGAGGGGGCGAAAGGGGAGGGAAACGAAGGGGTGTCCAAACTATTTTGAGGCATTTATTCGCAAAGCAACCGTGAGAACTGAGAGCAAACATTCGAGCAAACATTTCGGCAGATTTACTCACGCACTGAATTATCAGGACCTCCCATTTCTTAGCCCAGAATTTGCATGCGGAGCCGATGGTGGCAGACAGTCGCTGTTTTGGTAGCGCTATCAATATTGCGTAACTCTAATCAAACGTGTGAGCCGCTCCTGCAAAGCTGTGAACTTCAGGCTCTCATCCGATGCTTTTTTTCCTCCTCTTTCTTCTCCATCCCTTGCAATCCCGTATTTGTTTTTCTCGCATACCAATAAAGCCGATCTACGTAAGTTTGGGTCCACGCCATGCACCGAGGGAAACTCTGCAAGAACAAATATAGGAGATATCAGTCAGAGAGGGGGGGTGGAGGATGGAAAACTACTTCCCTTGCATGTTATTTCCTTGAATTATAAGGATTACGTTTCAGCCGAAGTGTTCATCGCAGCCATGGCATGAAACAATCTTGGCTTTGCTCCTGTAAATACGATGTTTAAAATAAATTAGCTCGTAATAAGATACGACTTTCGTAGATACTTAAAGCTCCGTCAGAGAGAGACGAGTTGGCAGCCGTACAGTGAGCTTGTAATGTATGTAATTCTAGATCTGGAGCACACACGGCCGCAGATCCAGGCAGAGAGGAGTGCGTATGATAACGTGTGTCATTTCACCGCGTGTAAGAACCGACAGACAGATGGTTACAAATTCGGATGGGGAAAAGAAGTCCTTCATACGATGCGAACGATCAGTGGCACTTCTGGATTTCATTACTGTTATTCTTATCGTTATTATCTTTTTGGTTTTTTT